TGTGACACGAAATCTACGATCTTCACGGCCACTGCGCAGAGGGCTGCGAAGATCGTACAAATCTGAAAATCTTCCCGGCTGTTTGGCCAGAGTACGATGGTTCAACTTCCGGTGCGCTTACCTGGCCGACCGGAAGCGACGCCGTCCCCTCTATCTCGCCCTTTGCGCTAGCGCGTCTCGTTTTATCGCGTTACGCGAAATCAACGATGCGTTTCAGAGAGTTTCGGTTCACGTATGCTGAACCATATAATTACTTACTACTTAAAGAATGCTTAGTAAGGATTGACAAATGTGCCGTTTAAAATAGCACAGTAGAAAACGATAAACAATTTATTTCCATTGTTAACTTTGCATGAGAGGCGAAAAATCATTTCTTTAACGAAATTTATCTTGAGTAAATTAATAATAAAACGGGGCGTATCTCTCGATACTAATATTTTAATCATAATTATTACATAAATAATTTATCATGTTATTCTCTTGATTTCTTAAAACAAATAATTGCAACAATAATAAAAACATAATTAAATATACTTTCTCTTAATATGATTATTTGTTTCACAGTTCAAAAGGAATATATACTCAAAAATACAAGAACCTTGAAGAGTTAGAATTGTCTAATTAAGGAATAAATAAATAATAAGTTTTAGTTTTGTGTTCTGCTCAGTTATACGCTATATTATGGATCATATTATTTATAGTATATTATTATTCTTAAATTAACTTTTTTTATTCCCACTTTTTGTCAAATGAGAGAGAGAGAGAGAGAGAGAGAGGAGAGAGAGAGAGAGAGAGAGGACCGTAGATTTGTTAAAACTAAATGTAAGAGTTATTCTTGCGAAATCGAAAATTACAAAGTAACAGAATTCTCCCGCCATCTAACGGCAGCTTCATAAAACATCTTTTCCATGCACTATTAAAAGGATCCTAAAGTTATCTGTTTGACTGACTAAACGCAATAACTTTTCAAAAAGTAAAAAAATAAATTAAGACAATTCATAAACTCTTAATATTTAAAATATATAAATATTAATAGTAAAAAAAGGCACAACGTAGTTGATTAAGTGATATACAGCTTAATTCTCGACCTTTTTAATGAAAATATGTCGTTTATTTACATAAAAACAAATATCTTGCACTTACAAGCTCTGATTGTTTCTGAAAAGGATTTTTTTTCTAAAAGCTATTCCAAATTTTTGTCTTCAATTTTTTTTTATTGTCCAGATTCTTTATTTTGGAAATTGAAATTGCTATCCTAAAACTTTTAAAACTTTTTACATATATACTATAATTACACAATTTAACATTGTTCACTTATCGACCCTAGATAAATCAAACCGATAAGTTAGGGATGACAGGACCATTATGTATACACCGCTGATAACATCTTTGATTATCCCGATGAACGCGATCTACATTATCGACAGCAAAAAACATTCATCGATCAGGGTATCTATCATGGAACATGTCGGCATGAATTCCGATCTTTCTGGAGAACAGAATAGAAATCTAGGGAATAATTGAATAATTTCGATTGGAATTCCATTCCGATTTGTTCCGTGATAGATGCTCAGAAAGAGATACGATGTAAACACAATAAGGGAAAAAGAAAAGCGAGTTAAAAAAAGTGAACGTTTCTCACGACATTGTGGGATAGCATGTGACACGCAGATGATTAAAACTCGTATGTCGAAATCTGGATCGCGATTCACCAGTGAGAAAAAAAGTAAGAGGCTCGCAATATTCTTTAATTCTCATACGCGCAACTTCCTGCAGATGTGACTTTTTTTTCTCTTTGCTTGTTATTCACGATTTTTTTTCTATTGACTTTTCTCACGAATGTAAAAATCACTTGGTTTCTTCGATTGAAAGAAAAGATCCGACTTAGCGACGTGACTATCTAAATTAAAGGGATGCTGCAGTTGTTCTGTTTTACCGATCAAATGTAACTTACGTACGGTTTACAAACTTATAATTTACGAGACATCGACATACATCAATATCGTATACATATGTACATACAAATTCGTAGAATAATATCTTTGTTTTTTAGAAATTAAAAAATAACTTCCTAATCATCGACGTTACAAGATCACTAATAATTAAAGAAATCTTAAAATAAAGGCCGAACTTCAATGTCAATAGATCAGATTATTTAATTTCAAACTAAAAATATCGATAATAGTGATATCTTTTATAATTCAGTTCCTTACATTATCGTTCTGTCTTACTCAAACGCGTATACATCTATCTAACATATTGCATCCCTATTTTTTGCAAGATTTTACTACATGCAATATTGCTCATTTTTACCACTCTCTATATTTTTATATCTCTCTATATCTCTATATTTCTATTTTTTATTAATTCTAAACAAGACAAACTTTTTTTTTAGATTTTTAATCTTAGTTTCAATACGATATTGTCAGTGCATTGTCTCTATATGACTATCTTATTTTATACATGTAAACTGTAGAATTGTTTTAAGCAAGTATTGTTGTCACATGATCGTACATGTCAAAAATCAGTGATATTTCAATATTTAATAACTTTTGTTTGTTTTTTGTACAAAGTCGATGTTTATTATTTTTGTGCGTATTTTAATCGTGTATAAGAATTTTACAATTATGTAAAGATATTTTATTCAAAGATATTTTAGAATTACGAAATGTCAGTAATTCGCTTCACTTAAGGATCTTCCTTAATATGCAAGTCTTAGGCCGGTGTTCATAGCTGGATCTTATATCTAAGATCGTCTTAAGTACAGTCTTAAGATGTCATGAATCAATCAGAGAGCCATATTAGCACCTTAAGACATTACTTAAGAAGGTCTTAAAATAAGAACGGATGATTGACGGACTATGAATACCCATAGTCACTCAATTTTCAGCAATTTTAATTAATTTCGGAGACTTTATTGCTATTAATGTTCCACTTCTCATTGATATTAAAACACTAGTATTTCTCTTTAATTAATCGTTCTTCCAGCATCTACGATTGAAAGAAGAGAACATGTACTTTTTCTATATCATCTCGTAGAATTTGTTCTGCGGTGTCATTCTATCCCGTTCAATCAATTACTGAGAAACCGACAACCCGACACGAAGATGAGCGCATCTCTTTTTCTCTCGTTCGCTGCCTTCTTCCCTTTTCACTCATCATCATTTCGAACTGAATAAAAAGGGACAGATATTGTCCCTTGTGTCGTGCCGATTTAATACATCTGTGACTGTAATGCCCCTTCTAGTGAAGAGAAAGGCTCAGACGTGATACGAGGTCCGATGCATAGCTCTGTCTGATTGCAGGAAATCCTGAGAAAAAATATGAAGATACATGCTATTTGGACCAAAATAGATTTTACACAAAGTGTAATTAAAGTATTTTGTAATTAAAGTATTATCTTTGATTATATTATACTATTTTCACAGTTGACGCAATGTTTTGTTTAAAATGAAAAATAATTATTTTTTTCAAAAAATTTCTTTGTGAAAAAAAGAAATAACGTCATGATGCGTGATTGGACGATTCGGTTTGACTTTTTCTGTCCGCGTTCTGCAGACAGCCGTGACGGATCGCGTTGTTCATTCATTCTCAGTCTCCTTTTTCTTGTATCGTTGTCCATTCATCTACGGCTCCTTCTTATAGAGCGTGGACAGTGTCATGCGACATTTACGCGCAAACGAAAAATTAAAAATAATCGAACGGATGATTTCAGAAAAAAAAGATTATTTCTTTTTTTCACAAAGAAATTTTTTGAAAAAAAGTAATTATTTTTCGTTTGAAGCATAACATTTCATCAACTGTGAAAATAGTATAATATAGTCAAAGATAATACTTTTACAAAACTTTGTGTAAAATCTATTATAGTCCAAATAGCATGTATCTTCGTATTTCTTTTCAGGATTTCTTTCTATGTTCCAATAGAAGTAATAGTATCTTTAATATTTCTAAAAAAAGTAATATCAAAAAGTGCATAAGATATTGCACCAACTAAAATCAAATTTATACACATTATATATAATTTAACCTAAACGATAATTTTATGTTCCTATTCTTGTTCCAATTCAAATAATATCTTTTTATTTTAATTCAAATGTCAAAGATTTAATACAAAAACTTAGCATTGTTAGAGTTTGAATGTAAAAGATTCACAATCGTATTACATTAAGATATGTTAACTAGGAAACAGCATGAAACTTTTTGCGTTAAATATTTTTAACGTTTGAGATGAAACAAAAAGATGTTATTACTATTTAGGTTGAAATAAGAATATTCTTGAATGGAAATTACGAAGATACGTATCACTTGTTATTTTCTTACATCTAACTGATGCGTGCACTGGCGCCTTTTTTCATTTTTTTTCATTTATCCTTTCGTCTATTTCTTTAAAAGTTTGCAAGATAAATATTTATTCTTGTCTCTGTATCGTTTGCACAAAGTAACATAACGATTTATGTATGTATGTGATGATTATGTAGTAGATTAGGTATGCTTGAAATATTGGTTGCGATATTGGACAGTTGTCAATATCATTTCACAACGCTGGAAAACTAAATCGACCGTGAAAGCGTGAGACAAAAATGCAATGTCCTAAATTTGACTCAACTTTCATGAGACTTTCAACTCGTTAAATTATAGTTAAATACGTGAAATTAGATAACGAGGGACCAGCAATTCCGTTCTTTTAGTACATACGGGCATCGGTATATAATGGTTAACTTAAGTAAATGTTACATTGTAGAAAGTCATTTTAAATGAAAATAAAACATGTTGGCTCTTAAATACGTACTTTATATTTTTATAAATATATGAAGTTATTATAGTCGATCATTTTAAAGAAAGTCTTATTTCAAAAAGCTACTTTTATTTTTCCAGATGATTTATAAAAGCCCACATTTTTTTTTCTAAAGTTTTTTCTAAAGATTTTCTTGACAATTTATGGCGTCATTCGCACACATATCTGTGTACTTTAGTGCAAATACGAAATACTTATGACATACCTGAGAAAAATATGATGGCAAAACACAGCGTTGATCGTCGAGACGCGAACTTTGCACTCGCTCAAGTAATTCGAATAGATCCTGCGTCGTGCTCTGTAATAGATATTTTAAAATACATTTCCCTTCACTTCCCCTCTTATTCTCATTCACGAAGCTACGTGATTAATTGTCACAAGTATAAATCAATGGTCATATAACAGTACCAGCTCGTTCTTGGAAACATTCCATTAGTGTAGTCGACAATGTAACTTACCTTGACTTTCTCCGGATTTGCGCCCGATATGTCTTGCTTATCATCTTCCACGGTGGTAGGTCGCCGCGACTCAGACTCGCAGTATACGGGTTGTTCCAGTTGCTGCCTCCTGAAAAACAAGCGAGTCATGAACTGTTAGTAGCGATTCTTTCCACAGTTCTCCCATAAATGGAGCATTAAGATGTACAGACGCCAAAATTATTGTTATTACGACTAGTCACGATGACTCGTCTCCGAGCAATCTTAACGTTCACGTCGACTCATAATTTTCTATGTTTTGTACTATATATTCTTATGTCGCGATATAATAAGGCGCGATACGAGGATATCTGGCTGGCTTGTATTGATTTGTTGTTCACATTAATACAATTAATATTATTGAGAAAGGAGCATAAAAGCATAAATATCATATCTTTACTTCTTCGTTTATTAAAATTGTATGTAAATTTAATTTTTAACATTAATATATAAAATTATATATTTTTACGTATTTTAATATATTTTACAATTAATAAATATCAAGACTATCGCAGGCATACAAGGATGCTTGACATACAATATCCTGACTCTCTTCTCCCCTCTCTCTCGATGGATCAAGCCAATAAAATTATGTAAATGTTACGTACAGAACAGTGCACAATATAAAAAATATCTCTATTATTACACGGACCAATAATAATTATCAATATTCTAATCGAAGAATATTCCTACTAATTTATGTTATTAACTTTTCGAAAATTTCCGATGGGCAGCTTCCTGATCGAGCCCATTTCCTGGAGTACATAAGGTTAAACACGTAGATAGAAAAATATCACGTTTTCCTTCGGCCGAGCGAGAGATATTGGCTGTTTCGAGAACACGTTTTGTGCTCGATCCTATAAAGTAAAGTACACCATTACCGGTCGTATATTAAGAAATAGGCGTATTAACATATTTCCGTGGAGGCGCATAATAACTTGCCCATACATACGTTACACGATATTATTACAAAACAATTTCTTTTTTCTCTTTTTCTCCTCTCTCATAACGATATTACTGTGACGTTTAAAATAAGGCACTTTATAGGTTTCGATAGAAAACTTAAACGTTCGATAAATAACAAAGATAAAGTGAAATATTACGAAGGCACATTTTGCGTACCTCTCTTTCTCTATACATATAGAGGGTAACTGCGGAAAGTGATTCTGATAAACTTAAAGATTGAGAGCTCTCGAATAACTTTTATTAAGTAATGCATATTCGGTGACGTCTTCCTAAGGCACTAAACATCGATGTCCATTAAACATTATTGAAGATTGTGTAAATGGTAATGAGACTGGAAGATATCATTTATTGTAATAAAAAAATTTTAATAAAATTTAAAAACAATTTGTTTTATTTTAATTTAACTTTATACATAGAAACTTTATAAAAAGCAATATTCAGAAACTGACGTCTTGGAGATTGTTCTTCAAAGGAGATGTCGAACACAAGTTACTTAATAAATGTTGTTCAGTGTAGTCAGATCTGTCATCTTTATAAATTTGTTTCTATTTACCAGAAATATTTTCTGTATATCTTTTTGCCGATAATATTCCAGATATAATAAGACAGATATAAGAATAATTGCTCAATTTTTTTTAAATAGAAAAACGATGACATAATCGAGAATAATAATGTTATATTAGCGACACTATGAACTTAATATATTGGAAAGACAAAGTTCGATTATGTTAAGAAGTTCTATATTCCGAAATTTTATGTTAAAAGAAAGTTCTTTGTTATTAAAAAGTCTCCAAAAGTTAACGAACGACTTTTCGAGAAAAAAAAAGATGCTGGATTCATCGGAAAATATCCTGCAGTTGAAAAGCAGCGTGCAATTTCGTGAAATACTTTGAAACATATAATAAATTCTTACAAGGTATCAGAATAGGTCGAATCGAACACCGAGTAAGTACTTATTGGAATGCTCTTTTCTGCATAACAGTCAACTGATTGCAAGACGAGAATTTGCATCAGGAACATATTTAGTTTCTTTTCTTTTCTGTTGTATAAAAGAAAACAATTTTGAACGAATTTTTTAACTAGTTTTCTCATTTAAATATTAATTTAATAATTACAAAAAAAGTTTCTAATTGAAAATAAACGAAGTAGTAGATTCTAATCATACCAACCACAATTCCGGTCATCATTATTGGATATTTAATTATCTCAAATAGAATTATAACAGATTTAATTACAAAATTCAGATTTGTTCATTGTTTAATAATAGACTTAATTTTTGGGTGATATTTTCCAGTTGACTATAAAATTTCTAATTATATTTTTATAATAGAGGTTTCCGAGAGCAGCCACGGCGGAGGTTAATGTCGCGTAATTTAAAATCACATGGGGTAGAAAAATTTCAAACCGGGGAGCAACGGGTGCAGTGCACCTAAAACGGTTACCTTGCAAGAATATTTTTAATATAATTAACATTTATTTGTTAACATATTTCATTCATTCATATTAGAATTTACGTTTTAAAATACATTATTTTTATGTTACTTGTTCACTTATTCTCATAACTTATTATTATACTATAAAAAACGTTGAATATCAATTTAATACAAAATTTTTAAATAATATAATCACATAATGTTAAATTAACACTCGAATATATTAAAAAATTCAACAATTAGCAACACAAACAATTAACAAGAATATGAATGGATCGTTTCCAACACAAATATACAATGTTTTTTATCGTACGGGATTCATTTGGATTTAATGAAGATTAGTATGGATCGTTTGTGTAATCAGTAAAAAAAGAGCGGGTCGTTCTGTTATACTTAGGTGCAACAAGCTTCATAAAATGACGCTGTTGGAAATAATTACTTTCATTTTTGTACATTTTTTTTATTAAACAGTGTTACGGATCTCCTGGTTATTTTATTAACGTTGTTTAATATTATTTGTTATACAAATGACAGAAAACCATTCATATCTTAATAAAAGTAAAGAAAGTCTCATCAAGTAAGATTAACAGTAAGAGCTTTTCGAACTACACCATTGCGTTCATTCCAAATACTCGCTGACCAAAACGCAACGAGCGAAACCGAGACGCAATAAGCGAGATAGCAATTATCCAGGCTCTGTGCCGCAAAGAAATAATCGCTTCGTACGATCGTATTTCTATTGCGCGCGGCAGAACTCGCCTCGCCAGAGGATCGAGAAGCGTACGAGAAAATCACGCACGTAAAGCGCGAATGGCTGGCTTTACGCCGTCGATTCCTCGGTCATTCTTTGAAATTCAAGGACAAGCGACTTTACTCAAGCAAAGAACTGTTGAATAAATGAATAAAATGCATGAAACGATGTATGGCTATGTACAATCAGATCAATTAAAATATTCAATTAATCAATATTTGAGCCAATGATAATTAAGCGCGAGAAAAATTCGCGAGCAGAAGAACGATTTTTTTTATGGATATCTTAAATTCTTATTATAAATTCATAATTAAACATAAATCTCTGGTAAAAATAAATATTAAAATATAAATTTTGTTTGTAAAACAGAGTATTAAAATTGTATGTGTAAAATTGTATTTTTGTTAATACAAAATATTATTTATTTAAATAAATTTTCAGCTCAATATTATATCGTTAATATTATATTTTTATAATTTGAAAAAATTGCAATAATATCTTGATTTAGCAATTTATTATTTTAAAGAAAATAATTATATATAATATATATAATAAATATTTACTTTATAGAGGAGGAACTCTATGAGAAGCTAACAATTAACGATTAAAGTATAAATTAAAATCAAAGATTAAAACTAAGTAACATTTAAGATCGGAACGATCTTATGGAAACATCATTTAAGTTGAACGTTCAAGTCTTAAACCATCTAGTTCCTAATACGAGATGTCTTCTAAATGAAAATGAAGCTGAAACGAGCTGAATCGAAAACAAGCGGTTACATCTGGCGACAACAGCTGTGGACTTTTTCGGATCGCAACGATGACGATGTCTTGACGGTGACATCCTTTCCTTTAAGACTCATTGCGTTGTCCTCGCTCGACTCAAGAAAAAAAGAGAATGAAGATTGCAACATAATTGCAGTCTGGTATACTAAATTTGCACACGGAGAAAATCTTTCATTTTATTTACCACAAAATTTGCTACAAATCAATTTATGGCGAATTCAATTGGAAGCATTAGTATATATTGAAGCCGTTATACTGATTTAATTTGAATATAAAAGTGAAATGCAAATATTTCGAATTATAAAATACATATTTCATACCTAATACTACAATAAAATGTATTGAGTATTTCAGGATTAATTTTTATAAACATATCTTTATGTTACTTTGTGTACGATGGCTTTAATGTTCACCAGTACGCACTGGAGTGCGTCCAGTCGAATTCGCTATTAATGTAAATAATATCAATTTAATGTACCTAAGCATCAATCGCAAAGTAAATTTCAACAATCATGTTAGATTTAACAATTGCAATTCAATGGTTTTTTTTTTTTTCAATTAATACTGATACTTATTCTCTCTCAATGAATAAGACAATCTTGTTGCGAATGGTATTTATTTATCGTCTGTACTGTCTGTACATATCTGTCGACAGTCGCGTATTTCGCCGTGACTGCCATTGTCGTTTTCTATTCCCAAGCCGATTATTACGCAAACGAGATCACCCGTTAACTGGTCGGTTGAAATAATAATGAATAATTTCGTGAACATTTTTGTTTCGTTCTGATCCTTACACATCAGTGTCATTCAAATGCATTTTCAGAAAGCAATTTTCAATATGACGTAAACATAGGAAAAAATTTATAACTCAGAATTATAAAGATCTCGAATTTTTCGGATAAAATTTAACTTTTTGCGAAAATGTTTTGAATTAAATAATTTCTGTATGGTGTGTAAAAATAGCTACAAATTTTTATTAAGTGGTGTGTGTGTGTGTGTGTGTGTGTGTGTGTGTGTGTGTGTGTACAGCAAACGAAGTACAAAATGTTTTATACCATACAAAATTCTGACGTCATACAGAAATTATTTAATTTCAAGCATTTCCACGAAAAATTTCAGAAGCCAAAATTATCTCCAATTTCAACGTACCTTTCA